ACTGTAACTGTTACGGACAGGCGTGTAGCTTACCATCAGGCGCAAGACTTGTTGGTCCCGTCGCTTGATCTTATATAAAAAAAAGTTTTTTAGGTAGCACGATCACGATTCACTTTAATTTCCAACATGGAACAATTGCGAAAACCTAAGAACTCGATAGGTTTTAAACCCACGACCATATTGCACCGTATTATTGCTCATACCAACTGAGCTATCGGTTGTCGAAAATCTCCTATGTGTTTTTGTTAGTGATCTTTGTGCTGGATTTTTCGGCATTCTGAACCACTAGTTAGAGATTTTTAAACTTCTTCACCGCGCCGATGCCTGAATTTCGACAACTCGATAACTGAACCCATTGCTCAGTTGGTAAGAACAATACTGCCTGACACTGTAGAGAAGCTCTGTCATTGGACTGGAATGGAATCAGAATGCTGACTATACTCTTAACAGGATACTGTGGCTTGAACAAGCATAAGAAGCTCCATACTGGGAAGGCACATGCCACAATCGGAGGACATTAAATTTGTCGCAGCCAGGAAAGTCCTTCAGTTCTTCAATGCTGTCGGCCTTGGCTCCGAACCGTAATTAGTGGTGAAGCCACCCTAATATTAATAATAAGAGCAATACTACGGTGCAGTATGGTCGTGAGTGGAAGTACCATCGAGTCGAAAAAGATTTTCTGTGTTCGATCTTTGTATTAATAACCATAATAAAAACTAGTGAATTTATTTCACAAAAAACATCTACATAATACATAAGGCTTTTCTTTACAAAACTAATATAAAAATATTGTCGACAGTGTAAAAACCGAGCAAGTGGCAGGCGGCGCGGACAGCCTACTGCGGCTGGCGAGGGTGAACAGCAGCGACGCGGGCAACTACACGTGTGCCGTGCGGGGCGCCAGATCTCACACCGTCTCTGTGCATGTCCTTAACGGTACGATAATTTTTCTTACAATTATAATCCTTTTCTTCACAGTTATTATTGTATTATGCAATTTTTTTTCTTCCGATACAATGAAATCCTCTATAAAAGAAACTGAGTCTGATAGCATTAAAAAAAATTGTCAATTTTATTCATTGTGTTTGAAAAAATATTTTATGAAATTTGACTAACTTCTACTGTCTCAAGTTTTTTGTCCCATACAATGAAATGATCCCTTCATGAAACTGAGTCGATCAGCACTATTTTATTTTTTTATTTTTAAATTTATTAAATCCGAAAAAGTACACTTACAATTAGTAATTATTTTTTTTATTATATTTCGCATACTAAGATTGTAATTTTAAAAAACAAACCTTCACTCAAGCGTAATTGAAATAGCTTAATTCAGTTAAATAAATTTCAAATACTGCTTTGTTGCCAAAAACCACTTTTAAATAATTTATAGTAATCCGATATAATTGAGTTACAAATGCTGGTAAATTTGTTTCATTGTTAATTGTAGGGGAAATTCTGCAATTATTACAGTCCTTCCAATTGTTATGTTCGTTGTATTATTAATACAAAGACCAATAAAATATGGCGTAATTGTAAATGGAAGAGGTCTCTTTATAATTGTTATAGGTTCCATAAATTGAATTTATATATACCTCTTATTTATGTAGATCCTTCTTAAGTATGAACGAAGAGTCTAAAAAAACTTAGACTCAATTAGCGTGTTGAAAATGAGTTATAAATACAGTTTTGTTTAGTTCTTTTACTTCTATTGAAACGTCTCGCTTACATGAAAATTAAATACACTAATTTCTAAACAAATACCGTTCAGTGCCGTTCAAATAATATAATTTTTATTTGGACCAATTTCACTTTCGTATAATTTAAGTAAATAAGTAAGTCAGTAATCTATTTGTACATAAAAATAAATAGAGTTCAATTACAGACAA